AGATCGAAGCATCTTGATTTTCCTGCCCAATTGATTCTCCACTTCCTGCTTAAACTATTTAAACTTTTCAAAGGTTTCTGACTTGTGCTTGATTAAGTAGATATAGCCATATCTGCTATAATTATCAGTGAAAGTCACATAGAAGCGACTCACATCCCTTGTGGTGGATCTAAAGGGCCCACACACATCTGTGTATGAGATCCAATAAACCCTCACCCCTTTCACAAGTGCCAGTGAAGGGTGACTTGGTCATCTTTCCAAGTAAACAAGACTCGCACACGTCATCGTCCCTAAGGTCGAATGACTCCAACACTCCATCCTTTTAGAGTTGGGCTATGCGTTTCTTGTTGACATGTCCAAGACGACAATGCCACAAGCATGCTTTATCCAAATCATTGGAAGAATCGATATACAACACATCATTTCCTAAATTGTCTACAACCATCACAGTTTCATATATTCCATTACAAGGCAATGCTTTAAAATAGAAAACACCATTAAGAAAAGCATTAATAGAACCTTTTTCATTATCAAACAAAAATCTAAATCCTTGTTTATATAAAACCATGAAAAGAAATGATGTTTCTTGCCATTTATGGCGAATAGCAACAATTATTCAACTCTAGTCCTAACCCACTATTAAGCACTAAAGAGTAAACTCCAATCTTGGTGACAGGCGACGATCTTCTGTGTCCCATGACCAGGTTTATCTTCCCATGCTCCACATCCCTATTTCTTCTTAGGCCCTGTAAATCAGAACAAATGTGAAAACCGCATCCTGTATCAAGAACCTAAGAAATAGCATGCGATGAGTTATTAGATTGAATAGTATAAATACCTGCGTAGGATGGTTTTATCTTTCCATCCTTGATGTCCTGCAGATATTTTGGGCAACTTCGTTTCCAATGCCCTTTGTCGTGGCAGTGATAGCACTCTGCATCCTTTCAGTTAGAGGAGGGTGCAGTGGTACCAACCTTGGTTCCACTAGAAGAGGTGCCATCATGAGACTTACCCTTGTGGTGGCTCTTGGAAGGAGTCTTCCTCTTCTTACCCTTCCCCTACCCTATAGCCAAGACTGGGGCAGCTGTAGTGGGAGTTGATGCAACAGATTTATCCTTGAGGTTGCTCTCAGCAGTCCTCAACAAGCCTCGAAGCTTGCTCAAGCTGACCTCCTCTTTGTTCATGTGGTAGGTCATGTGAAACTGGTTGAAGCAGGGTGGAAGTGAGTGAAGAATAATATCAATCGCTAGCTCTTCATCGAAGTTAACATTTAACTTCAGCAGGCGGTCGACATATCTCTGCATTTTCTGCAGATGAGCAGTGACAGACTCTCCGTCTCTCATCTTGTTCATGATTATCGAAGTGATGATCTCGTATCTTTCCTGCCTGACACTCTGGTGGTACCTGTGCAGTAAATCCTGGTGCATCTCATAGGGATAGTAGTCCTCGTAGGACTTTTGGAGTTCTGTAGTCATAGTCGCGAGCATGATGCAATGGACTTTCGTAGCATCTCGCTCGTGGGCCTCAAAGACAGCAATCTCCTCTGGAGTAGCAGTGTTGACATTCACCTCCTTCAGTTCCTTGTTGAGGACATATTCCTTGTCCTCGTAGCGGGTAACCATTCGAATGTTGTGGATCCAATCATTGAAATCGGTCCCATCAAAAATCACCCTCCCACACAAATTCACGAGTGAGAATGAGCCTGAAGAGGTTGAGCCTGAAGCGTTGTTGTTGTTCGAGTTAGACATCTGAAAAGAAAAGAGACAAAGTTTGATTAGATAAGAATCCCCAATTAAACACCCAAATGAGAAATTAGGGCTAGGATCCAACAACATTATTTGCAATTTAGAAGAGGGATGTCGTAATCTAAACAACAAATAATTTGAAGGTAAGTGAATGACGATTCACTAATTTCCACCATGAAAAACGAAAAACAATTAGTTTTAAATGTTTTGAAAACTCCTAGATCTTTTGAGATTCATTAAACATTTCAATTGCATGTTTAAATCTCGATATGCCCTTCAAGTCTGTGACTGGGATACCGAGGATCACAAACAAGGTGTGAATAACCATGCAAATGTACATGGCGCTCTCAATGTTACAGTCACCTAATCAATGTTCCGGTTAGCCACACACGCTCCATTGATCTATGACAAACATTGAGTCACCCTTTGCCCCCTTTGCTAGACCCAAATTAGTGTGTTGGTTAACCACACACGCTCCACTAACGTCTTGGCAAGGGTACAAAGTGTGATTTCATGGAATAGCATCATTTTTACATTTTTCCTAAAGTAACTAAGAATGAGAATTTTATAAAAACATTTAGTTACTTTGTATAATCATTATACTTTTAATGAGGAATTGGTTGCCCTATCCTACCCATTCGGCTAACGACCCTCCACTAATCAAGGAAACGGTGGGTGAGAGTGGACATCCATTAAACTGTCATTTTATAGGCAACAACCTTATACCCCCCCCCCCCCTTAGAGATCGGCTTCGTGAATGAGGCCTACTAACGGTAAGACTAGCATTTATCTTATACATATATAATAATTACTCTTATAATATTATAATAATATAGGGTGAATTTTAAGCTTGTAAAATTCTAGGGTTTAGAATTTAAATATTTCAAAATTAAACTTTTAATCCAAATATTCAAATTCAAAACTTGAGACAAGTTTTGAAACATTTCAAAACTATCTAGATCAAAATTCAAATAATACAAATAAACAATTAATTTGGTGATTATCTAATTTTGACCTAATCCAATTTCATGCAAGATAATGATCAAATAATTCAAATAATTAATATTTATCAAATAAGGTAATAATTATCTAATTAAATGAAAAAATATTTTATTTTGACAAAGATAATCATAAGGAATCAATAAAATTCGTATTTTATTAATTAGAAACAATTATGGTAATTATCCTAAGTCAAAATAAGCAAAAATCTTGAAAATCCGTCTGTCTGACAGCCCGACTCGCCGAGCCCCTTACAGGACTCGCCGAGTTCATCCTACTCGTCGAGTACCTCATTGGGCTCGACGAGTCTGTCAAGCAGATTCCATGAAAAACGATTTTAAGCAATGGAAAAACATACCAAGCATCAAATACAATAGAAACCAACAAAGGCTCTGATACCACTGATGGGTTTTGAGCAAAAGAACATCATATGTGCACATGCAAAACCCTAAAGCTTTGGATCTAGGTTTCTCTATTGTATATGCAAATTTATCCAAAGCTTGAAAACCCTAATCTAGCATACTATGAAAAACGAGATCTATAATAAAACAAGTTTAGATGATACCTTTCAATAGTTGTAAGAATCTTCAATTTTCAAGAGCTTAGTATCACAAGTGTAATACCTCTAATGACTTACAAACACCAAAGCAAGAAGATGATCTAGAAGGGAGGGAGGAGGAGGCACAATTTCGTCTATAGTAACTCTAGGGTTTCTCAAGTCGCCGAAATTTGTAGCCCTAGGGGTTCCTTAAATAGCTGAGCTGTCAGGGTTTCATTCAAAACCCTAATTGGATAACTTAGACCCTAAGCAGCTTCAAGAACCTTCTGGAATAAGGCCCCTTGGACGTAATTAGAGTGGGCTTCCACTCTAGATTTTAGGGATGAGCATTAGAACCACCGGAACCGGAACCGGACCGGAACCGAATCGGAACCGGACAGGAACCGGAACCGGAACTGGTAACAAGGTCCGGTTACCGGTTCTCCATTTTTATGAAAACCGGTCCCGGTTCTAAAAACCGAAACCGATTTGATATTTTCCCCGTTTTTTAAAATGCGTATAACTCACTCATATGAAGTCGAAATTATTTGATTTTTTTTCCAACATGTAATTTGGAGTTTGTAATTCATTTTTGACTATACAAACATATGTTTGGTTAGATATTGAATCTGACACATGTCTTGAAAGAAAGAATATCGATGCTGTGTTTTTTCTATTTCAACATTTTTTTGTTTTTTTGAATCTGTCACATTTTTTTAAATGATCATAACTCATTCATAGGACGTCGGAATTACTTAATTTTTTTTCCAGCATGTAGTTTGGTGTTTGTAGTTCATTTTAGACTATAAAAACACATATTTTGGTTAGATATTGAATCAGTTATAGACCACGGAAGTCAACATATCAATGCTGCGTATTTTCTGTTTCAGCATTTTTTTTAAAAATCTGTCACGTTTTTAAAATGCGCATAACTCACTCATATGAAGTCGGAATTACTTGATTCTTTTTTCATCATTTATTTTAGTGTTTGTACTTCAATTTAGAATGTAAAGAGTCATAATTTGGTTAAATATTGAATCATTTACAAGCTCCCGAAGATATCATCTCATCTATAATATTTAAACCGGTTATAGTTTGAAAAATAACCGAAAAAGCGGGACCGGAACCGGAACCGGCGGTCCAGTTCCCGGTTCTTATAATATAGAAAAACTTGTTCCGGTTCCGAACCGGTCCGGTTCTAAAGCTCATCCCTACTAGATTTCGTCCCCCTTATTTTCATAAGGATTCACAGCCCAAAATCAATTATCTTATAATTGACAGTTCCAGTCCCCCTTATTTATTTAATCTCTTTCAGCCATATAATTAATTCTCAAATAATTCTTGACCAATATTAATTAAACTATATGATTGTTCTTTTAATATATTATTCATAATATATATATATATATCTATATATATATATTATAGAGAGAGAGAGAGAGAGAGAGAGAGTAGGAGAGAGAGAGGAGAGAGAAGAGAGAGAGAGGAGAGAGAGAGAGGAGAGAGAGAGGAGAGAGAGCGGAGAGCGAGAGAGGAGAGAGGAGAGAGAGAGAGAGAGAGAGAGAGAGAGAGGAGAGAGAGGGAGAGGAGAGAGAGAGAGCGGAGCGAGAGATGCGGAGCGAGAGAGAGAGGCGGGAGGGAGAGAGAGAGAGAGAGATTAATATTTGATAGATTGATTGATTTATCTAGGGCAAGGTATTTTTTTTCTTTCCAATTCTAGCAAACTTTTGCTTGGAAGAGCTCAGCTAATTAAGCTGCTATATATCTTCCACAGAATAAGTTCCAACTACTTGTCCTCTCAACTTCTGAGTGTGTGTGATCTGGAAAGAGAACAAAACCATGTCTATAACTAGTTAGAACCACACACGCCCAACAACGGCGCTAATCCCTATACCTTCAACTGTTTCTTCATCTTTTTCATGGTGGATCAGAACCCCAAAATAGAAATGAAGAAAAGTGGCGACTCTGATGAAAAAGATGCACAGGAAGACTACCCCACAAAGCAAAACCCCACTTTTCATGAAGTCGAACAAGAAGATTATGATATGGATGACGATGAAGGTGATGAATCGTCACAAGAGGTTGACCATGATTCTACTGGTGGAAGCGGACTCAAAAATGGATCGACATCCAGCAACAGCACTGTTGAGGAGACAAGTGATAAGAAAGCGAGCGGGTCAGTCACAGGATCAGTTAGACCATATGTTCGCTCCAAGAATCCCAGGCTTAGGTGGACACCTGATCTTCATCTTCGATTTGTTCATGCTATTGAACGACTGGGAGGTCAAGAAAGTTAGTATAAATGACTTTTGTTTCATATATTTATGTTTTTGGTTTAATTATTTAATGGAACTTAATGTGTTTTTCAACTTTGATTTTGATGGTGCAGGAGCAACGCCAAAATTAGTTCTTCAACTAATGAATATCAAAGGCCTTAGCATCTCTCATGTCAAGAGCCATCTTCAGGTACTTATATTAATTTGTTTCATTCAAGAAAAATAATACTTTTTGCAGCATCAACCAGTTAATTTTGTATATTATGCTGAATATATAAATTTTGAGTTTCTTGGTTTGTTTCATCAGATGTATAGAAGCAAGAAGAACGACGATCCAGATCAAGGTATACATAATTTCAAATTCATAGATGGTGGAAAATAAGTTTGTTGTTAATTAGGGTTTCGTAATTAAAAAGATTAAAAATCTAACTCTAAACCACTTAATGAAATCAATCATAATATGAAAGTAAGTAATGAGTTATTTTTTGTTAATTATTTCAGAACAAGGGCTTCTTAGTGAGGGTGATGATCACCATATGTACAACCTTAGCCAACTTCCAATGCTCCAAAGCTATAATCGGAGATCACTTTCCAATCTTAGGTATCGTCTATTCTTCAAAACGTCATAATTTTTAATTATAAAATGAATAAATTGTGAGCTAGTTGATCAATGCACAAATGCTAAAACTAATAGCGACTTACTGATACCGTTTTACTACTGTTCTATTTCCATTTTTAGATATCAAGATGGTTTATGGAGTCCGCAAACGAACCTAAATTATAATTCTTCCATGACCGGATTAAACCACGGGGTTTATGGTTCATTGGCGGAGAAGATTCTCTCAACTAACAACATCAGGAATTATCATTCGAGCATAAACCAAGATCATGATAGATGGAGAAGCTTCCGAAGCAACAGCATCGAAGAGTTCCAGATTGGATTATTCAAGAATCCTTATGGGTTATCAATGGCTAATCAAATTAGAAGAACTACTCAGATGGACACAAATGTGATGGTCAGAGATCAAGACCAAGAGAAAAGGTTACTTAAAAGAAAGGAGATTGATCAAGAATCGGAACATCTTGATTTGAATCTCTCATTAAAAGTCAGGAACCCGAGAGAAGTGGAACATACGAACAGTTTAAAGAAAAATGATGAATTTGATGAGAACAACTTATCGTTATCATTGGTTTTGCCTACTTCTACTTCAAATTCTAGTAGTATTAAAAGGTCAAAGCATGCAAAAACAATGGGCGGTTGCAGTGCATCTCTTGATCTAACTTTGTGAAAGAGACAAAGATTAAGTGAGATTTTGCAGTACTTTTGTCCCAGAAAACATTGCACAGATTACTATTAACTTGTTTATAATATATATATATATATATATATATATATATATATATATATATATATATAATATATATATATATATATATATATTACTGCCACTAGTGGTCTAGTACTTCTACTAGTGTTAATTAAAAGTTCTTTTTGTCTTCAACCAGGGTGTGTCTTATATTTTTTTAAGGATCTCAAAGATCATCCAATTAAAATTAGTCAAGTATTAGCACAGCATGTAGATAGTTTTTGGAATATGTTGTAAGTTAGAAATTTGAAATTTATAATTTATTAAGTTTTTTTGAAGGCAGAAGAATTTAGTATTATCAAGGAGCTCGAAAAAACATTACAAAGTAAACAAAACTAGAATTAAGCTTTCAAGTCAACCAACCAAATTCATTTTATGTTTCCTACTCGGCTACTCCTATTTCAAGTACAAAATAACGACTACATATCAATTTTCTAAAATATGAAGACAACTTAAACACTTTCTTGAAGACCGCCTGATTTTATACGATTTCCCTGTGAAACGTCGACCATAGAAAGATGAATATGAAGATCAATAGACCACCGCGAAGCAATATGTTTCAAAGCACCATAGTAAATTCAAGATTAACAAAAAGGTGATCTCTTTGCTTCTAGATTATATCCCAAACTGGGCAATGGTGAGGAGTTCGAAGATTTCTTAATATATTGGTCCAGCGACACTCTATGTATCAAATTAGGACGCAATGATATTGAGGGAGACACATAGTCGATAATGCATGGTGGGTAGGTCAAAGAAAATAAAGAGACACTTTATGTACAACTTATAACCCACTTGATTCATTCTTTAATAGTTAAAATTTAGAGAAAACTATAAATTTTGTCATTGTGTTTGTCAAAAAAACTAAGATTCAAGTCCCTGCACTTCAAATTTTGCATAAAACATCCTTATGGATAAGTTTCATTCTGGGTTTGGTCCATCGCTTTAAACCTCCTTAAAATTCGGTTGTATTAGTGGCTTCATGTTCCTCTCATATGAGGGTAATTCAATAGATTATCTTCCCTAATACCCACATTGTTCATCTTCATCATTATGACCCACCACCGCCTCCCAGATTCCATAGTTGCTGACAAACAACCCTCCCACCACCAAACATCACCACAACCATTTGCCAGAAAAACATTTCAGATTCCCAGTGAATTAATCTCATTGTTGCAGCTCATTTGAATGAGAAATGTTGGTTGTAATTAAGCCCTATCCCAACCAAGATAGCAATTCATTTAATAAGTCTTCAAGTACAATTGGATTATGCAACTTATAGATCCTCCAATATAGTCCATGAACTATCCATTTTCGAAAGAAAAAACATAAAAAGTTCATGTTGTGGGTCTTTCAAATAATAAAAAGATCCATAGATTTATTTACCTTAACAAGAGAAGTATTAGCAGAATTATATGGACCTTACCACTTACAAACCATATAACCAAAATTTGCCTCTAACATTATGATATACAACATCCACACCCATCGACTTCAAAAACTCCATTGTATAATTTCATCTTAGATTTCAAATAGAATCAATACACAATTTGTGTAAAATTAATAGGAGTACGGAATTAAGATAGATTATTGGTAAATAACTTCAAACATTGCAATAAAATCACCACAACACACTATTAGGACAACTCATATGCATCATTTGGTACTTCATACATAATGGTAAATAACACAGCATTACAATTGAAATGTGTTATAAACAATGCAATGCATACACAGAATGTTCTAAACATCAACAACCAAAATATGTTATAAAACATCAACAACCCAAAATAAAGTAGTCAAAACATAGTACGTTACTACTAAATGCATATATAAATTGTTCCTAAAAAAATATTGAAAGAACATCTTCATAAAGAACTGAGTTGCAATAAAAAAAACTTATAATCCTTTTTCATGATCTGCAGTATGTAGATAGACATGTCTTTTAAACATTAACATCTGACTATCTTTAAGTATGTTTCTTAATCTCCACATCTAGGGTTGTAAACGAACCGAACGTTCAGCGAATTGTACGTGAACTGTTCGGCGGAAAGTTCATTTATGTTCGTTTTATTTAAGAATAATTTACACGAACGGTCCTTGTGGTTTGGGGTAATCTACGCGCTTGGTCCCTAAATCATTTGTTAACTCGGAAGGCCCTTAGGATGTATTTTTGTTGCGCATTGGGTCCCTCACAGACATAAAAAGACTATTTTGCCCTTAATGATATATTTTTATTTTGTTAATTCTTTTTTATTTACTTCAACTATAATTAAATAACATTAATTATAAATAATTGAAGTGGACCCACCCACCTTAATCTCCTTCCCTTCCCCCCAATGGACGGAGACTACCAAGTTTCCCGACACTAACTCTGGTCACCATCTTCGGCCACATATTTGGTACCAAAGAAATCATCTTAAATTCAACACAGAATACCTAATATTCAACCAAAATCAAATATAAAATTCGATCCAAAGCCAAAGTCAGAACCTGTGACTCAAATCTAAATCCAAAATCGAGTATGTAGCTCAAAATCAAATCCAAAAACCAAAATACCTTAGGCAAAAACTACAGATATAATCCAGATTCAAAAATCCCTAATACAACACCATATGCAAACAGATTAAGTAAAATCAAACCTAGAAAATCAATATAAAAAATTATAAATATAGGTGGAGGTACAGGTTGTCAAATCTTGTAGGTCTTCAAATATTCAACCAAACACAAACCTACAAGTCGACCTTAGCCTCCATCCTTAGTAAACAATTTGTAGAGAGAAATTGAGGAAAGGTTGAGGTTGTTTTCAGTTTTGGTTGCATCAGGTTTAATCTTGTACGTCTTCAAATCAAGCAAGCTTCAGGTGGCGTTTGTGGTGGTGTTTTGGTGTTGGAATCGGTGGTCAGAGTTGTCCTAATTAATTCCAAGAGTCATCATAATTTCTTCCAGTTGGTATGGTAGTTTCAAGTCTCATAAGAGGATAGAGAGGTAGAGGTACAAGTCGTCGATTTAGGGTTTTCACCGGAGTAGAAAAGCAAGTGAAGAAAGGAAAATACGGGGTTTCGGGATATTCTTCATTTTTTTGGATTTAAACCCTAAGTAATTTCAAGTCTCATAAGAGGATAGAGAGGTAGAGGTACAAGTCGTCGATTTAGGGTTTTCACCGGAGTAGAAAGGCAAGTGAAGAAAGGAAAATATGGGGTTTCGGGATATTCTTTGTTTTTTTGGATTTAAACCCTAAGTAATTGATTTTGCCTGCAACCTTTTCTGACGATGGAGAAGATGACCGGACCAGAAGGAAGAAGCGGAGAAAGGGGAAGGGTTATGCAGGTTTTCGATGAAAGGAACAGAGTTTCCGACGATGTTTGGGTTTTAGGGAAAGACGAGGAAAATGCTACGTAAGTTTGTAGCGAAGTAGGGGAGGGGATAGAGGTAAGAAGAAGAAATGTGAGGAGGTGGTGGTAGATGAAGTCGTTGACGGGTTTGGAGGTTGAAGAATATGATAGTGAAGGTGAAGATGAAGGGTGGGAGTGGGAGTGGGAGTGGGAGTGGGACCCACCTTATTTAATAAGCATTTTTTTAGTAGGAAAATAACAAATAAAGAATAAAGAAATTAAAAAGAAATAAAGAAGGATAATTTAGTCTTTTTATGTTTGTCAGGGACCTAACGTGCAACAAAAATACATCCTACGGACCGCCCGAGTTAAAAAACGATCTAGGGACCAAACACGCAGATTACCCCAAACCACAGGGACCATTTATATAATTTACTCTTTATTTAATAAATAAACGAACATGGATTTTTGTTCATTTAGTTAAACGAATTAACACGAACAATGGTATCATTCGTTCAATTATGTTCATCACTTTCGTTTATGTTCGTTCATTTAAGTTCCTTTTAGGTTCATATATGGTCAATTGTTTTTTTAATACATTACTATATAATATGTTAGTTTATATTTGTATATGTTCATATATGTTTTTTTATCTCCGTTCATTTATGTTTGTTCGTTTATATTTGTTTAACATGTTCACGAACATGAAAAACATAATTTGTTAAACGAACAAACATGAATAAGAAAACTCATATGTTAATTCGTTCGTGTTCGTTTGTTTGTTCGGGTAACTTAAACAAACGAACATAAACAAGCCCTTGATCGTGTTCGTTCGATTCATTTACAACCCTATCCACCTCAGAATACCAAGCAATACATTTATTGTATTCTTTAGAGGTCATGTTAGGGGTTGCTCCTGAAGGTGAACCTATACGGTGAAGACATTGTAAGATACAAGTAATGTGTAAGTTGTAGTAATGAGATACTAGCGTATGAACATATAGCAATGTATAAATAATTGCCTTTTTATAAGTATATACAAGAGTATATGAACAGTTTCATAAGTATTTAAGATATAGTAGGAATGTATATAATAATAACCTAATATTTTAAGATATACTAGGTATGTGTATGCGATAATGACCATCCTTTTCTAAACAAGCAACATTAATCGGTAAACAATGATTAAGTCCTCTCGTAAAACAAGAAGCCACAAAAGTGTTATTTTGATGTCATAACAATAATATGGTATTGAACTTATTCTCTTTATAAACAACCAAACCTACAACTAAGAAACTACTTAAAAAACTACATCCATAACTTAAAACCACTAGAAAAAAACGCATACTCGTAAAAGACAAAGGTTAGCTCATTAGTCAAATAAAACATGATATATGAAGGATTTGAGAAAAGGAATATAATTATAGGTATGTGAGAGGAAATTATATGAGGGTATGAAGAGAAGTAGTGAAACGCCCGCAGATTCGGGCTAGTTAATTAAAATATAACAAGCTTTAAAAATGACTTTTTGATAGAAGATTATTTAGGATAAATAATCTTAACCCCAAAGTTATAGTATATGTGACAAGGATTCCATACATATAAAGAACGCTGAAATCCGACTTCGTATGAATAAGTTATGCTTCTTCGAAGTTTCACGATTA